ATATGTCAAGACCTGCGAGACTTGCCAAAGGGAGAAGGCCTCAATGCAACCACGAGTGGCCCCTCTTCACTCAAACAAAATCTCATCTTCCTCATGGATCCACATCTCAGTCGATATAATCACTGGGTTACCTGATTGCAATAGATATGATGCCATCCTCATAATTGTTGATCAGTTCTCGAAAGCGATCATCCCAATCACCTGTTCAACAGAGCTAACTTCAGAAGGATGGGCAAAAATCCTATGAGATGAGATGTATGCCAAATATAGTATGCCCCAAGTAGTCATCTCGGATAGAGGATCGCAATTCATCTCCAAATTCCTTGATGACTTATACAAGTTGCTAAGTATCAAGCAAAACGCCTCCACTGCATATCATCTGCAAACCGACAGATAGACAGAATGGGCAAATCAGGAAGTTGAAAAATACTTACAATTATTCATCAACTTTCGATAAGACAACTGGGTCAAATGGCTTGCACTTGCAGTGTTTCAACATAACAATCACATTCATTCAGCAACCGGGAAAACCCCATTCTTTGTTAACCACAGGCAACACCCCAATGTCACCCATTCCAAATACTGTCGAACAACAACCCCTGCATCAACAGACTTTGCTGCTGACATAGCTAAAATCCATTCTAAAATGAAAACCACCCTCAAAAGGGCCATGATGGCAATGAAAACCCACTATGATAAGCATCGGCAACCAGCACACACATACTCCCCAAATGACAAGGTCTGGTTAGACACGACTAACCTACACCTACCATAGCCAAAACAGAAATTAGCAGATAAATGCATTGGCCCCTTTTCTATCATTGTAAAAATAGAAGAAAGTGCCTACAAACTCCAACTGCCGACTGGTTGGAAGGTCCACAATGTGTTCAACAAAAGCCTCCTCTCCCCATATGTTGCCCCAGCATTCCCAAATCAAATGCACCCTCTACTGCCCCCATCTGACCTGATCAACAATGAAGAACACTATGAAATTGATCAAATCTTAAACTACAAGCTCTGAAAAGTCAAGGCGAAAGGCAGTGGTATAATCACAACAGTGGACTACCTTGTCAGCTAGAAGGGATATGGACCTGAATTAAACCAATGGGTAAATGAAAAACAAATGACGGCTGACAATGCAATTCATAACTATGAACTATCCCTAAATTAAGCTATTGGGACAATAGTCTTAAAGAGGGGGTAATGTTATGAATTTTCCCTGTTTCTATGATTTTACCCCTATTTATGCTTAGTCAAGAGACATAGGGCCATAGGAGAGCTTAGTCATCACAACTAACCTGCCCATCAAATCAGTCCAGACAACAAATGCTTGATGACACACAAGCAACCTTTTATATATAGTAATAATGCTCAAAGACAATGGGCACCATGGACACAGAACAATACAATTAGTAGTAGTAGTATTAGCATAACCTGTATAGTATTTAAGACCTACAGCTCTCACTGGTATGCCCCAGCTTCAAGCTAAAGTTTACATTCACTATCCTACCTCGAGTCTATATCTGACCTTGGGCCACAACAACTCAGATATGCAATAAGTGGACTCAGGTGATCCCTCGAAGTGTGAAGGGACATCTGTTTACCACATGTATCTGGTCACATGATGCTTGGGCCTAACAATAGTATGCATTTTTGCCTTCTTCTGCTCATATTTCTCCAGTTTATCCTCTAGCTTTTTCAGATTGTCATCTAAGAGTGAGTGTAAAAATGCAGTATTGGAGGTTTAGTAGGTGTTTCCCTTATGCTGGACAGGATACAGGGGTTTGTGAGCTGTTTCTTGGAGGTATCAGCCAAGGCTCTTATCCAGAAATTTGTTGGTGAGCTTTTCTTCAAATGCTGTCTAGTTCAATCCATTATCTGTAGGCTTTATTGTGCTGACTAGCTTTATTTCAGTTGTCATAGATATATTAGTAGCAAGGCCCATAACCTGTTGGAGTTAACAAGACAGATGCACAGACATGGTGAATGAGAAAGAGTTCAGAAGAGAACATGTGCTAGAATAGGATATCATAATGTTAATCTCAGTGTTGTGGTTAAAAGCTGTATTATCTATCTAGAATAGAACATCATAATGTTACTATATAAATAATGAGTAAATACAGTAAAACAGAGGTAGATATAGAAGACACTCACATCTCAGTATTGTGGTTAAAAGCTGAGATATGTAGAATGGTGTGTTGTACTAAAAAGGGAAAGAAAATCAAATAAGTGAATATGTTTGTATCATACTAATTCTATATCTAACAAATACTCCTTATATCTTGCAGGTGTGCTATTGTCTACCTACAATACTATTGCTATAGTAAGAATTGCATGAGTCACAGTTATTCTAACTAAAACTGTGCATAGATATTGACTGTAATGAGGATGAGATTATAGTAGAAGATGAGATGACCAGTGACTGAGTGTATAAGTGGAATAGGACATGCTCCTTCTAGCATTGAGATGAAACAGGTGTGAATGAGGCTGAATTATCATCAGGTTCAGATATGACCACTGACTCTGACACTGTGAGTATATGCTTCTTAGCAATAAAATACTCTTCTTTGGAGAAGGAGACAGACTCTGAAATGCCACTATTGACCAGTGTTAATGATGATGATGGGAATGAACTAAATGATAATGATAGAATGCTTTCACTAATAGATGAAGATGAGAACAACTAAAATAAATTTATTTGTGATATCTTACCTGAAGAGAGAGCATTCATAATGACCACATTCACAAACTGAAATCCAACTACTACACTCACTTTTATAGACTCTGGTGCTAGCAATTACCTCTTCAAGAATAGAGATGACTTCACTGAGTACACACTAGTAGCTCTTTACACCAGTGCCTCAGCCATTGAGGATAATGGTAGCTCCAATATCATTAGGCAGAGAACAGTCAATCCTTCAGAGTGGATGGAAAAGAAGTAAAGCTGATCTTTAAGAATGCACTTCACTTCTCATCACTTGCAGCAAACCTGCTATCCATAAGCACTTTGGATAAGGCAGATCTGTCTATATTTTTCTCAAATAGATAAGCAGTTGTTGATATGCAGTGTATACATCCAGCTCTAAAATTTGTGAATTTTAAACAATATATCCACAAAGCTGAAGTCTATATGGCTAGCTATTTAAAGGCTATAGCAGAGACTCTGAGCTGATAGCCATGTTAGCCAAGAATTCCAAGTCCAATTGAATTTAGAGAACTAACTTCACACTGAGATAATAATCCAAAGTTAAGTTAAACTTAATGAAATTGCACTACACTTTGATAAAATACTAAGTCAAGTTGGACTTAGAAGTGGTATCACATTTGAGCCAATTCTAAATGCCATAAAGGCTAGTAGATCTTAGTCTAATCCAAAGAATATTACTATGACACACAGTGGAGTGCTAAAGACAGCTAGCATCCAAACCAGGAGTAGAAGCAGAACAGAACTCATTAGTCTATGACTAGCATCTCAAGTTTAGCTTAGAATGTACAAGTCATGATTTATCAGACACAGAGTATTGCATGAGACTTAGAAATGGGATGAGCAACAGCTGCAGTACTTGATTAGTGCCTCAGATCATCTATAATCAGCACTAAACAACCTAAATTACTGATCAATCATGATTGGTGGTGACTCCAAGTATAGTAAGTGAAACTGAGATGATCAAGTGTATAGCTGCTATTTCTGGACTGATGAAGTGGAGCTCCATGGAGCTCCAGAACCACCTAAAAGGACTATATTTGATGTGCTAAGATAGAATAATAGTCTGATTCCAGGCTAGCCAATAGAAAATATTGATAGAACTATATTATTTATAGATTCTGTATATTTTACTCATGTATAAAAGAATGGAGAGAGGGGAATCACATGTTGAATAACCCATTCCCATGATTAGGCCTTCTGGCTCAATGTAGTTAGTCTCTGGATCAAAGGCTTTGCATCTAACCTTGACTTGAGTAGCTTTTGTTGCTAAGTTCTCTTGTATCAAATAGAATTGAAGTCTTAATTAAACTACAAGTTTCAGCATAATTTGGGTTCTGGCTTAATAAGAGTTTCAGCATCAGAATACAAATTCTTTAGTTTCAAAGATTGCTAGTTAGCCATAAGTGCAGCTAGTCAAGCCAAAGTGCTTGAGAGACTTAGTATTAGGTTTCAGAGCATTCTAAATTAAGCTGAGCACAGTAGCTTATAATTTTAAGTCTCAATTTGCATATTGTGTCTTATCCACATCACTCCTGTGAGTATTGCATCTTAGGAAGCAAATTAGCACTGAGTTAACTGTCTTTATACAATTGTTCTTAATTTATTTGAGTCTGCAGAGTGCTTCTATCATACTTAAAACACTCAAACTCAACAATATTGGTGATAGTGCATAGAGTGATTAAGCCTTAGTGACTGAGATCACATTTCTCTTTTGCCTGACTTAGTTGTTCATCCATTATCAAGCACATCAATGTGTGGAGAAACATTGCTCCTGTTATATAGGATACTTTAGATGCAAGTTCAGAGAGTATCAAATAAGGCCACTTGTCAGGCTAGGCCATTTCAACAGAGGAAATGAGATGTGATGATGTGAAGCACACAGCCTCCATGTCTGTCAGGGATAAACAATGTGAATTGTGAAAGTCCAAAGTGGTAAAATGTCAGTCAATACTCTGTCAATACAAGTACATCAACTGGTGTGAGTTCACCATGTTTCAGGTTGATACTTCTTCTATATAGCACCTAAGAGGAATGGATTTTTATCATATATCTGGCCTCTACAGGCCTTCATGTATATATGTTTTCTGCACACATGCAACATTCACAACTGGTCTCAATTATCCCAATTATCAGCCACAAATGATGCAACAAATATTGATCTTTTCTGGCAACCATCAAATGTGTCATCATAAAGATTAATATTAAAAAAGTGTGTAATTTAAACCACTAACAGTTGACTGACAATAGCCAAGCCTAAATACTTAAGCTTTGCCTTGAGTTGGGAGAGTTGAATTTAATAACAAAATATTGTGCCAATGTAAATGCCCTCATAAGGGCCAAGATGATCTAGTAACTTTCCTTCAAAAATATTTGGAACTGTTTTGATCTGGCACTCTGGGTCAGTCACATCATCATTTCCTGCAATAATTGCTTTGTCAGTTATATAGACAAGACTAAGGAAATTCGACCCACCTGGACAAGCGACAGCAGAGCCTGGTTCGAGGATATGGATCTCGGTTTCAGGTTGAGCATATCCGAGGTCTCTTCCAGGCAGTATAGGGATAAAATCTGAATTCGATCAGGATCAGTATTGTAAACTGAATGTGTCACCATACCATGTTTGTTATTAATCCGCTTGAAGTTTGGTACCTATAGGTCAAAGGGGTCAGCACAAACGAAAGATACTTAACCATGTCTCCTACTTTAGAATCGATGAGCTCCGCAAAGGCCAAATTCCCGACACCTAAAAAGATCCGGAGTGAGTAAATTATGGAAGCTGAGTTATGCATCTGTATATGCTGCGAGGATACATACGAGGTGTTCCGTAAGTCATTACCTTGATGGATGCAGAGGGTATGTTTAGAGCGAAGAAAAGGCCGTCAAGTTCGGCCAGAGCTCCCCCGAGTGAGTGTCCAACGACAACTAAATTGCTGGTTCCCTTGGACTCGATGAGTGATTGAACTTCAGTGAGAATTTCCCTAGCTGTTGAAGCCTGTGCATCTCTGAAACCGCCATGCACATAAATGTCACTGGAGACACCAGGGAAAAGATTCATGTCAAGGGTATGATGGAGTGCTTCAATATCTGTCAAAACAGATTTACTGAATAAAAATATTAGAATAAACCACTAGAACTTTGATGACAGAGAACAATCTCACAACTGGGTTGGGTCAGTGCCTTCATGTCCTACAACTATGGCGTCCTCGGATGGCCAGTACCCAACGAAAACTAGAAGAATATATGTCAGCCTTTCTATGTGGGCTGGCCTGGCTGGGGAAACCACTAACAATACTGGACATCATCTCCATTGCCACCGACAAGTGTAGGTTCGAAGTCGGATACAGCATCACAAGCCTCTGAAAGACGGCCCTCAGCAACAGAAAAGGCATGGAGCACAACGCGTACCTCCGCAACTCCAGTTTTTCAAGGCGTCTGAACCGCAATATGCCGCCCTTGCGAACTGCGTGTACGGCGCAAATGAGGCAAGTTCAACAACGGATAACGGGGTGACGCCAGGAGGGACTGGTCCCGAAGACGTAGGATAGATTGTACCCAGAGTCGAAATCAACTGGGATAAAAATGGCACATGCATCTTGGTACCGAGGCAAAGGAGGGAATAAAGAACAACCACCTAAAGCAAGGTATGTACTGTTATACCGCCATATACTGTAGCCCTGCATTTTATACAGTGCGGAACTAAACCATATAACGCCTGTCGATAGATTATCCGACAGCATCGCCACGAACTGGAACATTTGCAAAAAGCTGTATGCATCAGAAACGAACTGATCCAGCGCATGTTGTAAATGTCCACGGGTCGAAATTATCTGCGAAAGATATATTCTTGGTGTGCTGCAATCATGTGGGGAAATCGGAAAAGGGAGTTACATAGCCAAGAAGGGTCGTCTGATTAATGAACTACACTTCCGACGGTGCATTGGCCTGTGAAATCTGACTGAGATGATTTAGGACCCTGTGAGTAGATAACGCATACTGTAGATTTGTATGGTCTCGGTGGGATTGAATTATAATGATTTCCCGGCTACTGTCTTTAAAATGGCTGCGGTTTTCTATGGGATTACGAAGCTAAAAGAAACGACAGCACTGATCCTACTGTCCTTCGTGAGCTCATTATTGATACCCAGGTCGCCGGACGTCATAAAGATTTGCGTACGCCAAGCGATTCATCGTATTCCTTGATGAAAGTCCAGACGTTAGCATTGCATTCGCCGTATAAAAGATTACCTTTACCCCTTGGTTCTCGCATTCATTTCTTGAAAATTGCTGCATAATCATTGCGGACCGAGGAGACCGATACTCAGTGGGGAAACACGTACCTGACGCTCGTCCATTTATCAGCGCCGAGACCCCTCCCGAAATGGGGCCTCACTATAGCTCGAAACTCTGCTAAGTTTCATTCACAAGAACGAGAAGCGCCGTATCTGATATGAGTTCAGCGCTGGATGCAAACTGGTTCCTCCCACAGCAGAACAGCCGAATGATGGCCATTGCGCATGTGTTATTTGCATGTCCTGATTTCTGACAGTGAAAAGTTGAGCCCAGACCCACTGTTCTCCTCTCAAGACAGTCATGCCAACTAAGTTTGTGGACCCACAGAACTCTGCCTCGGCGCAGTTTCCGAGCTATAGCAGTAAGATAGAGTAAGTCGAAGTTATCATCTACCAGGCATCTGAAGTGCCTGACAATTACATGTCCCTAGCCTTCCCACAGAATAAATAGTTAACCTAATTCGGGATGCTACCTGCAGTTCCTCTTCAAACCTGATTCGATTTCTGGAACACGACACATTCAGGTTCCATCTCCCAAAGGGCCATCACAGACATCCTTTGGGCGTGGATTCATGTGCTGGCAGCCACGGTGACTGAGAATGTGTTACGGCGCATCTCGAATTCTTTCTTCAAGTTATTGCTGATCGCCTAGAGTGTGAGACCCACCGGGCGGACGAAGCAATAGCTCATGCCAAATATGCCAAAGCGCTAGCCAAAAAATGGTTCATGAAAAGCGCTTCAGCAGAGAAGGATCAGGCGAAGCGGATACGAGTGCAATACAATCGGAAGATGACATTGCAAGGTACAAGTTGCAGTTAAAAAACACCGAGTCTGCTTTGAAACGCCTTCAGTTCGACACAGCTCAATTGGAAAAATGGTGTGCTGAGGCAGAGCATTCTGCTTCAAAGTTCAAACGTTCAGGTCTGAAGCGCATGAATTGAAAATGGCGCTGCACAGCCTTGAAGCGAGGGGAAGAGGTTGGGAAGAAGGAATGATGAAAAGGCTTAATGAGGGGGAAAAAAGAAGCTTTGGAATGCTGGATATGCGGAGGGCTTTAAACAGGCGAAAGCTTCAGCAATGAAAGAAGGTATCCAGATAGGTAAGCGCGAAGGTCGCGAACAAGGACGCAACGAAGAACACAGAGACGTGCTTGAGGCATTTGATAAATTCTTGGCAGAAGAGACGGATGGAAGGTACATTTATTCATGAAGGTCGAAGTACCGCGACCAATCTTCAACGTTCATGGCCAGCAGAGTGACCAGACTTGAAGATGGGTCACATCGATATATCATCTGGATAGTGGCACAAATCCATCTTCTTCTCGATGGTGTCACACCCTATAGCATGATGTGACATTATTGAATCTCAAAAACCGACACTGGGTTGATGAACTACAAAATGATAGATCAGAAACAGAGGTAGAAAGGCTTGTGAACATACGTGTTAAAGTTTCTATCTGACAAGGTACTCGTCACGAGGTGTATGTGTAAACCCGCCAGTGATCGCCAGAAAAAAAAAAGGTCATACGACTGAAAACTTTTCTGGGCGACTGGACAACTGGGATAAGCAGGGAAATAGTATATCCGCCTAACGATGGTTTCATTATGTAACAGACCGGAGGGCGTTCAAGTATCACAAAAGACGGGCAGATAGTGTGCTGCAGATACAAAATGGTTGCGATGGGTGTCTACACAGTCGTGTCTGAATTGGTGGATTGAAATCAGCAATCGGGGAACTCTCAAAGATCCTCCTACAGTGCGGTGTTGAACATTTGAGTGCCTGCATGATTGTTGCAATCTTCGCGTGATGAGACGAGTTCTAGTCGGCAGAAATATAAATCTATTTTGGCGCATCTGTGCATAGGGAATTGAAGGTAGCCATCTCAGTAAGTTCTCAATATCAGTAAGTGTTTCCTTCGAGGATAGCATAGAATATCATCGAGGCAGTGATAATGTTTATCAAGAGGAAGAGCAAGTAAAAGGCAACCGTTGCAAGTAACTACGTTGACATTGTTGACGATTATATTCCTTTTGGTTCCCTTTCAGTTTTTCATTGCCACTGCTCTTCCTCCTACTCCACCTTTCTCCTGGCGTCGGCTTCCGTCGCAAGGGTCCCAAAAACCTTCCGAGGCTCTTGCTGTAAGCGTTAAATAACACTGCCAACTCCTGCACATCTGACAAGTTTCCTCTGTCTCCTAGTCCAGGTAGAGTACATCCTGAAAGTGTGATAGATACAGCGGTGGCCACCGCCAATGGCTTGGCTGATTTGAGCAAGTCGAGCTTTGAAGCAGGAGAGGTTCTAGGTGGTCAGATAGTTGGCATCATGTCGTCTCTTTCCCCAAGCCAAGCTCAAAATGCCGTCGAGATGTACGTCTTCCGCTCCTTGCTTTGCGCCCAGTCTCACTACTCAGTCCAGTTTGAATCTGCCAAATCGGTTGCATCCATCGTCTCCATCGCCTTTCCTTTCAGCCGAGACTCTGTCAAGCATTCGCTACATAACCCCAATCTGCACTACCTGTATCGCGTCATACTATTTTTCACTAAGCCCACCATCAACGGCGTCAAGGACTTGAGATGGGCTCTACAGCAGGGAAAATCTGTTGATACCACTATGGAGGCGCCTCTCACTGATCTTCTTTTCGAAAACTTGGTGGACTTGCTCTCTAGGGTGATCGATGGCTTATCCGAGGTACCACCTATCATTCTCTGTGTGTATCACATTTCCTGGTTCAGTCTGCATGCTAATCCATGGACAGCAAACCTACTTCGTTCCCCAGGCAATCTCGACCTTCCAATTGTCAAGTTGATGGGCTATCTTACATACAAGGCCTTCCGAGCAAGGATTGCAGCCCCGTCACTTGTTCCCCAGGTACTTGAACTCCAGCCTGGGACAGCCATATACCTGCTACTCCGTCCGTTCTGTCGCCACAAGAACCAACAGACTCCAAGATGAAAAAGGAATGGAAACGCAGAATCAAAACGCAGAATCAAGATGTATCGTACGCCCTTCTCTTTCTTGCGTAGGTTCCGGCTGTTTATTCTAATTCACACGTATGTTGTCTACAGGATCTATTAATCCTAATTTAGAGCTATAGGCAAAATACCATTGACAAGGCGATGTCATTCCGGGCAAAGGCGACCGACTTTCTGAAACCCGTTATCAAGTTTCCTGCAGCACCGACACCGATAGGAACGATGTTCCAATGACTTCCAACGAACCTGAAGCTCCTCGTCATTGTAATGTCTGGTACTCATTCACACTGTTCATCTATCAGTCGTGCATCATCGACTGTCAGAAGGCTATTACCATCTCTCATGTTCATCACGTCTGGCCACTCGTTCCGCCACCTTGATGCTCTGTTGTGACTTTGAACAGTTTCGTTTTTCGATGTTGGAGAAGCGCAGGCAGGTTTTCAAAGATGGTGCATCAGCAGACGCTCGGGATAGCTTGATAGAGAAAGTCCAGGCGGACAAGAAGAAGTTGAAGAGACGCTTGAGAAAGCCCGGACTGTCATACTTTGCAAGCCGTCCATCAAGTGATTCATCCCAGGTCACTGAAGACCGTCGATGGTTCCATGGGAACTGCCACGCCAAAATTGAGCGTTGCTTCACAGAATACAGAAAATTGGAAGATCACATCATGAATGATGCCGTCTATCAGCCGATGTCTTTGCAGGAGAAACAAGACATTGTTCAAGCCTTAGGATTTTCGCATCGAGGTCATTTCTACAACTGCATAAATGGCCACACGTTCGTTATCACAGAGGTATATACATCGTCTAAACAGATGTCTGAGAAGCTGAAATATCTTTTCAGTGCGGAGGAGCGATGGAGGCTAGTCAATGGTCAGTTCATCAATCAATGTAATCGTTGCCAACTCTTAACCTAGTTCTGTTTTAGTCCTGAATGTAGAGCGCCGATAGGCGGCGGAAACCATAGGCTCGACAGCTCCAATACCCGCGCTCGAGAATATGAGGACATCTCACGACAGCAAGGGGGAAAAGAAAGCCCATGGGTGTGGGCAGCCGACGCTTAAAGATGAGGATAGGGAAAGATCATGTAGATAATCGTCGTATGTAACAGGTATCAGGTCTCAAACTAATGCGCGATAGCAGAGATCAACTGTTTTAATCGGCCCTCTATGCTATGAATATCTTCCATGATCGAAGTATGCTTACTTTCCAAGTTATTAAACGTCGTATTCTCGTATGAAAGGCTCGACCCTACTCGCACACGAGGTATACTGACGTCTTCATCTTGTTGAAACCTCTCCGCAACTTTGACAGACAAATCCGTACCCGTCCGCTGCGAGAAATCGCTCGACCGCTGAGTAAATGCTATTGTAGCGTTAGGCGTCGCACTCCGTTTCGACAAAACGGATCCTGGCCTAGGACTCGGACTCGGGCTCTGCGGAGCCTCCATGTCTGTGTCAGATTCCTCTTCCGAGTCAGAGACGTGCACAGGTATCTGTCGTGGATCCTCCAAGGGAAGGAAACGAAGCTCTTTCAACGAGGCTGACCGACTGCGTCTGCCAATGGACGTCAAGATATGTGGTTTCCGACCGCTCTCTAGCACTTTCTTATGCGCGCTCATGCTAACACAGTCAATGAGCTGCTTCATGGCCTCGCGATCTGAGACTGGCCGTCTTGTAACTGTTGTACGGCGGGCAGTACTGTTCCGTGAAAGCATCTGATATGGGGTTCGAGGTCCGGATCGGATCGGGGTGCTGAAAGGACGTGAATTGGGCGTCGGCGTTAGAAGATGGGGTGCCGGCGTGGAACCAGTAGTGGCCGGAGATAGTCCGACTAGTTTGGGAGCATTGAGTGTACCAGTCATGGATTCACGAGAGTGAGGTGCCAGGTCCGGGAATGCAGTTATCATAGGTCCCCATGAAAAGCCGATGAAGGGCGAACTGTTATCTCCAGATGTCGGTCGAGGTGTCGCTATAGACTTCAGAATAGAGAGACCCTGAGATGATCCAACAGATGACTGGAAAAGATCCGAAAAAGCAAAGGGTTTCGACTCGGATCCATTGCCATCTGATCCGTCGACCTCCATCTGAAGGTCAACGTTGGCATCTGTGTAGGTGAACCTAGGAACGTGAACGTCTGCAGGGACGGCCTCTAAAGACCAAAATCAACATTAAGATAATGCAGATGTAAAGATTATTTAACGAGAAACCTACCATCATGGAAATTGGTCCAGCGAACGTTGGCAAAAAACTTATGAGAGGTGAGTTCGGCCACGTTGTGTCTTCCCAGACGGAACTCGGCATCAGTGAGCAATCTTCGTGAATCCCTATCAGCAGGGTTAATAAGTCTGGAGAATGGTGCATTCACCTGCGCAAGAAGTCTTGGAATTCAGGTGTAATAAGAATACTATTATTGAACGGAATGTATCTCTGGACTCCGATCAGCATTCGTTAGACAGGATAAAGAAGAAAACAAACGTTGTCAGCCATTATCTTCACGTATGTCCTACGGATATCCTCTGCAAAGAAGGGCGCTTGACCATAGGCCATTTCATACAGCATCGCACCCATGCTCCACCAGTCTGTCTCTCGTCCATAAACATCATCTCCATGTTCGAATTCAGAGCTGCGGTCATCATCTTCCATTTCCAAGGCAACAAGTGCGCGCTCATGGGCTTTGAGTATCTCGGGCGAGATGTAATCGCAAGTTCCACATGGGACGAGGCAATACTGCTTCGGCAAACGCTGACTGCCATCCGGCAGGCGGGGAAGAAGTGGGGCCGCCGAACCAAAATCAATCAAGAGAATGTGAGCGTGAGGTTTGAGGACGAAATTGTGAGGTTTGATATCTCTGTTCCGGTGTCAATGAGAGTTTGTGCGTGAGAATCTCAGACCTGCCTGTGCACAAAGCCTTGTGAGTGACACCAATGAATCGCGCTGACGATCTGTGGTGCCCACCATCTGATATCGCGTTCCGAAATCCTGCCGTCCAGCGCGCTAGATTCCAACACGTCCCAGAGTGTACCCCCCTCGGCATAGTCCATGACGAGCTTCAAATGCATCGGGGTTTGGAACGCACACAGCAAATGTGGCACCCACTGTGAATTGGTCTTTGTTGCAAGGCGCAGAATATCGCGTTCAAGCTGCGGCGAGCATTGCTTTATTTGACTTCGTCAGCTGCATACAAACCGACTTGGTTCCTGACAGCGTACCTCACGCGCTCTCAACACAAATTTCTTCTCGATGGTTTTGCGTACATAGACGCGCCCATCTAGTCTACATTTGACAACGTCGATCTATACACAACGATGAAGCTTGAGTTTTCCAAGGAAAAAAGGAACGAACTACGCCAAACTGGCCGTAGTCAAGCTTCCCGACCGCCTGAAAATCTTTATCCTGAAGTTTTATGGAGTCGATTTCGATAGTCCTCGCTAATAAAATCAGCACGGTACATAGCATAAAAGTGACTTGATGCACATACATGTCTTCCCAATAACACTCTGGCCGTGCAGCAACCGATCCAGTGCCAGCCCATCCTCCTCCTCGTCGCCATGACTTTTCAGAAGTTCTTGAAGTCTCGATTTCCGTTTTATCCAAGAGAGAGACATGCATTAGGTCATTCAAATCTTCGAAGGAATAAAAATACAGCTGTAGATGTAGATGAACAAGAAATGGAGGAAGCGATTGACGATGACGGAAATGGGAGAACAGAAAGAGAACAAACATAGTCCCGTCACGGCGTCACAGAGCAGTCACGATGTCTGGACATGCCGACTCTGCCGAATCGACACTTGCAGTGGCATTCCAAGAGACAAAGCTAAAGTGCAACGAGCTGGAGAAGATTGGGGAAGACCCGAATTTTTGTGACGCCTACTACCTATCACAGATTATTCCCGAAATGCTAAGCCGAATGGTATTGTTTATACATATACATTTCATAATCTAGGCGTACATTGGATTCGAAAGAATGTCTAGTATCTACTTTCCTTGAGTCTTCCCTAATGTAAGACGAGTCAGCCAACTATTTACGCTCAGCCATAACTGTCTCCTCAGTCCCAAGCTCTAGAGCACCAGCTGAATCCTCCGAAGAGTGTATTACTTGTTCTGATCCAAGTAAAAGGCCCGGATGCGCAAAGTTCATGATGTAGATCGCTAGGACCACCATGGCACCGTCGAAGACATCTTCAAAATTGAATTACTGTGATATCCAAGAAAATAGAGGAGACGTACTGAATACACTTGCATGGAGATGATTACGCCGTTCCCATCACTTAGCTCGATAGTACGATACACAGCCCTGGAACGATACAATGAGAAGGTAAAGGAGTGAAGTAAACAAACATACCGAATATAGAGATAGATGGTGCTGGGGGTCAAAGCCCCTAACATGAGCAACATTTTTCCACTCATGATGCCGCGAGAGTAAATAGGCTTCATAGAAGCTACGTCTACCTGGCAATTCGCAGTACGGGAAACGATCGGGACGTCCTTGAAGTATCATACAAGCAACTCAGCAGCACAAAGGACATACACACTAATAGCAGCCGCAGGGAGCAGGATTAATTATCGTCAATGATATTACAAGAACTTTACTGACCCAGTTGGAACACAATGCCACCGAGCATTATATCTCCACCCTGTACATGAAGAATGATTAGAATCACCAAAACTCTCCGGAGAATATTTACAAACCTTATTGGTGGCTGGTAGAGTTGTAGCTGCCGATGCAATGCCTCCTCCAACATCTTGTATTATCAAGGCGACGCAATCCTGAAATATACAAATCATGGTGAATGGATTGAGAATACAGGGGAGAGACGGTGCTTACGCAGGTGCAGAAGGTGATGGAATTTAAAAACAGCTTAGGATGAGTATCAGGTATTGGGGCTGCGCGACTCACACATCCGGGGAGTCAGCCTGCTATATACAGGACCCAATCTTTTGATCAATGTGCCCAGAACAACGAAGTTAGCAACAACCAGAGGTGTCGAGGCGAGGATGGTGCAAACAATTCTAAAAGATCAAAAGTGAACAAATAATCATCTAAAATATAATTCTCGAACATGCTGTATTTGAAACGGGTTATTAAGACTTGGAGAGAAACTCGACCACAAACGTCCACTCCAGCCAAGTATCTCCATGATTCCAACCGTAAGACCAAAGGCTTAACTGGGAGGAAATAAAGAGATAATAAAAGGAAAAGGCCAATATAAATTGAACGGCGCACTAGTGGAATCCATCATTGGCGATAGGATATACTTTTTCTGGTCTTGAGTCTTTGAAGGGGAACCCTAAATTATGAAAGACAAAAAAAATGCTACCCAAGCCTTAAGTAGCATTGTCCGAAGTGTTCCAGCTCTGGAGTATGCATCATAACGGCAAGATATCCCATATAAAAGTACGAGATCATAATGTCAATGACACGGACGAAAAGATGTTGTGAGCGTCAAGCTCGGCTGTCCGGTAAAGATTGACAAATGCAGTAAAAGCATATCCGACAGCTGGTCTCAGCGCCCTCGATGTCTGCCAATGGGGATAACATCTGTCACGATTTAGGTGTGTGATACGTGCACGCCACTTCCCTGAATCCTGAACGCCACACATTTGACGAAAGGGTGAAGGTACCACGATCACGTTACTTGATGAGTCAACCTGGCAACTTCAAAGGATCAAGCGTGAGACTCGCCGCGATATCATCTTGCACCAACTCCAGGACTTCTACAAGATGCCTTGGGAACCTATAAAACTCAATAGTGGTACGGCTAACCTGCTTTGTCCTGCAGTCTCATTGTTGATAATTCCTTCTGGCAGGCTATTCTATGCCAAGCATAACTTTTGGAACGTGGAAACTCGGCAATGGTGATGACCCTATAAGCCAGGTTGACCAAGCAATCTCTGTCGGATTCAACCACTTTGGTCAGTATTTCGCATTACTTCTAGCTGAATTCGTCATATATCTCGCTCTAGATACCGCTCAAAGCTACAGAAATGAAACAGAAGCTGGAGTAGCGATTCGTGAGAGCGGTCTAGCGCGAAGTGAGATATTCATTACTACCAAATATTCCGGAACGGACGGACTGGATATCAAGACGTCTATCCAGAATAGCTTGAAGAATGTGAGCCTTGATCAGTCTTGTTCATAGGTAAAAGCAGGCTGAACTTGGATTTCTCTGCAGCTGGGAGTCACCTACGTAGACCTGTATCTCATCCATCATCCGAGGCTCGCAGTCCCTGACATACCCACCGTATGGAAAGAAATGGAAGCTCTCCAGGCAAAGGGACTGGCAAAGCGAGCTATTAATAGCACTTTTTGTTCATTCGTCTTCTACTAATTTTATCATACTACGTAGGAGCATCGGCGTCAGCAACTTTGGAGTCCATGAGATCGCGTTGTTACTGGCCTCTTCCAATATCAAACCTGCAGCTAACCAGGTATCGTTTTGTAGTGTCCTGTATAAGCTTTTATCTAATCCCTCTCAGATATTGCTCCATCCATATGTATACGCCCGGCAGAGCCCTATTGTTGAATACTGCCAAAAGGCGGGTATTGTCATTGAAGCCTACAGTCCTCTTATGCATGTTTTGTTCTCCTGCCAGCATGTTGCACGATCTAACCGTTAAGCTCTAGTCCACTTACGACGCTTCCTGGAGGCCCAGTCGATGATCCAGTTAACGATCTCGCCGCAAAGTACGGTGTGACTCCTGACCAGATCCTTCTGGCATGGACCAAATCGAAAGGTGCGGTTGTCGTAACGTACGTTGCTTATTCGCTTTAACTCGGATGTTTTTCTCACATGTTATCCTTGAAGGACGAGCTCGAAAAAGTCCAGGTTGGAAGGGTATCTGAGTGCCGGGGACCTTGGTATGGATCTCTCAGTCTTCAGTGATCCAATTGTCATTCATCTTCATACCGACTTGTAGAACTCTCCCCAGAGGAAGTGACTGCTATTGATTTAGCAGGTGCAGCTATGCCTAGACACTTGAAGATCGCACGCCGTGTAGCTGTAACGTGTCTTGCATCTACTGTTGCATGGGGAATCCTGCGCATGTTGGGATATTGAGATGAATCGCCGTCACAACGTTTACCGTGTACTTCTATTGCAAATCTACTTCGGAATCAAATTACCAGTGAGATACAAAATTCTTCAGAAAGTAAACAGGCCTGTGAGAATGCCCTAAATTTCCATGTCCCAAAACAGTAGAGACTAGCTAACATCAGCGTGCTGGTCACTGAAGGCGGCATTTCTTGAAACGATTGATCGCTGAAATTTTTAGAGTATCGCTGATTTGACTCGGTGACTAGTCCTTCTTTTCGAGATCGGCGCCCATGCCGTTTGGTTAATTACAGGTACATGCTAAACCAATCTCAACTCACTCAGAATACCGTTTCGGTCTGGGGAAAGATCCATGTGCTCGTGAGCAATATTGGCACGAGATACCTTGGACTCGTAGAGCGGGTGAGTGATAACACAACAGTGCTTACGGTTGAAGAAGAACGAAGATGATGAAGGAACAGTTTGAAACGAACTGTGGTCGATGTCCCCAGCGCAGGCCTCCCTAATATAAGGGCGCAAACGCAAGGAACAAGAGTCGCGCGCGCTTCGGTTCTGTTCCGAGGAACGAACCGAGCAATACTGTGGAAACACTGGTAGATATGGTAAGAGACGAAGTTGCAGCAGAAGGAAAAGCTTGGCTTACTTGGTTAATGTTGGGGCAAGATCTGGTTCCGATGATAGAAACGAGGCAAGTCCGTCTTGAAGTGCTTTCAGAACTTGTGATCCAATAAAACGCCTCGGCTGCCCACACACGAAGTTGCTCTTCACTTGAATTCGCCATTGTTACCTGGCGGACACGCTATTTTGATACAAGGTCAGATATTATATTCTTGCCTACCAATGGACCACCGTATACAAAAAGTGAAGACACGAATCTGGATTTTGTATGAGAAGATCTGTCAATTCAGGCTTATGCTAACGAGGTCGGAGGGATCGAAAAAATGTTGTGGTGAGGGAACGTTCATCAGCAAATAAGTAGTTAACAGCTGTAGTCCTGAAAGCACATGAGCAGCCAAAACGCAGCGTTCAAGACTGCAGGAGGCTGAAGATTTGATGAGAATGGCTGGATCCGAGGTATACTGCTAGAGTGGTCCATGGCTCGATGCGTATGGGTCGCCGCCTTGAAAAATAGGGAAGCAATGAGGCGACCGCACTGAGCGAGAACGTGGAGAAAAGCCTACCTTTGTCAAGAAGCGACACTATCGATATGGCAGTTTTTACCGTCTGAAGCAGCTTTCTAGAACAGAGAGACGACAAAAGCTTGGCGATGGCGGGATGGCGAGAGGCAACAAGGAGGCAAGGAATGGTGGACAAGATGACTGTAGCGCAAAATCGAAATTTGACTTGATCGGCAAAATGTCCGAACCTTCATCACCACCACCACCACGCCATATCCTTCGGTCCCATTCTTCTGGTGTGACTGCCCTCTTCATCTCCCTGGACAACGAGCGAATTTACTCTGGGGACGGTTCTGGATTCGTTGTATCCACGTCGACGCGTACATTGCGTCCTATATCCTCTTGGAAGGCCCATGACGACGGGATACTCGGTGTACAGGAGTGGGGAGCAAACATCATCACGTACGTCGCTGTCGGTCATGTTGGAGGCGCACAATTCACAACTGGGAAATATCAGACAAGGTCGAGACAATAAGCTTCACGTATGGCGTCGCGTCGAGGAGCTACCAGGAATTGGAGGATCAGCAGCTCTATCTGAATCACCCGTTCCTGTCCTTCAATACTCGATGGATGTGAATGCTTTGAACTATTGCAGGTTTTCGTTGATGCTCTTGCTGCTGGATGATGGCCAAACGGGCTCATCGTCCAAGGACCAATTCGGGGACGCTTTTATTGCCCTCCCGAATTTAGTCGAATCTTCAGAGGTATTGCGGTAGCACCATTTTCCGGGAACAGATTCTTACAGTTGCCTAGGCCGATATTTGGTGTCTTCCGTCTTGCACTCGAGTTCACGCTGCCATAGGGAAGCAAGAAAGCTGCGGGCCCATCCTTTCAACAGACGGGCGCGGGAATCAGGCGACTGGTAATTGGAATGTTCGACATTTACTTCCATTCCACTCATTTATATCAAGGTATTATCATGTCCCTCCATCTATTCGAACATGACGGCACTCTCCGAATACTCATAGCGTATGAGAGTGGAAATGTAACATTGCGGGAATTTGTCAAGTCAGATCGGACGACGTCCGTTGAAGGGTTGGGATGGAAAGTGCTATGGAAGGCGAAACTACACGCTGAGGCTAGTACGTGCGCTTTCATCACCTTCGTTGACATCTGATGATAAATGATAATAGTAATGGCGATGAGCGTAACAAACGACGATTCCATGGCATTAACGGTGTCTGCTGATCATTTGATTGGTCGATACGACTTGTTGGTATGTTGCTTAGTAAATGAAAGCCCGTCCGCTGTTTAACGACACAAAAAGTCGTTTGTAGCTAAGACATATCGAACGAATCATCCGGGAAACGGGGCTGTCGCGATGCGTGATGACGGCAGGGTTTGCGCTGTAGGTGGATGGGATGGACGGTATGTCATCTTCCCCCCCTCCGCCCTTTCTTGCTTACGATATCAGCAGAATTCGTCTCTATTCCACAAAATCATTTAAACCGCTAGGAACTTTGAAATACCACAAGAACGGATGCCAGGCTATCGCGTTTGCACGGTCACCATCCGAGTACCAGATCGATGCAGATGACGACGAGGACGGTATGAGTAAACAGGAAAGGGAAGAGCGGTCTCGGTGGCTTATTGGAGGTGCCAAGGATAAACTCGTCACAATCTGGTCTTTGATAGCATTCAATAAAACATGAGAAGGGGGACATCCCAGCTGATTCAAGCATTCTTCTTCGATGTCACGCTCGATATCATACCAGGGAAATGATACTCCTGGCTTCAACTCGAATGTTTATTTCACACAACCTTCGGATGGTACTCTATCCTTTCTTCGTCGTTCCTTTGTCTAGGGCGACCAGCACACCGATGTTCGCTACCATTATCGCACCAGTTATTTCCATCATCAGGTTTCAATAGCGCGATCACTGTCAGATGTTACGATAATGAGTGCAGGGACATGAACCAATTCATACGTTCGATCCTAGACTATCACCTGGTCTGATTCAAATCCATTTGTGAGGATCATAGGGAGCGGAGACGGAAAGGTGTGACTTAAGTATGAGAGCAGAGGGACCAACTGTGATATTTTGTCCATGTCCTCGTCTCTCCTGCTAGCGTCTTTTTCATCTGGTGTCCTATTGTTATACTGCTTGTTTCACCTCTCGCATAAACGTCGACGTATGCATCTCCCTCCCGGCCCCAAAGGACTCCCACTCATGGGAAACCTCTGGGATATACCCACAGAGTACTCATGGACCACTTATGCTCGATGGGCTGCCATCTACGGCGACGTCTTGTGTCTGGATACTCCCGGAAATCCGATGGTTGTACTGAACCTCCACTCAAGCAGCGGTAGATCTGTTTGAAAGGCGTTCCGGAGATTATTCCGATAGACCAAGTATGGTTGATAGATACTACCCATAATTTTCAGCGTCGCTGTACAGATTTCACCACGGTACAGTTGTAGGGATGGGAGGATTTCTTAGCCTTCATGAGATATTCTACCTGGTGGAGGTCAGGACTCTCGGGATATTCTTTGTTGATATTGTCTGATATGTCTTCACAGAAATCATCGCCAAATGTTTCACGAAGACTTCCAGCTCTGTACTGTTTCGGCGTCTTATCCTGTGTAGATGGAAGCGATGTTGACCATGCTGTAGCAGTTGCATAAATATCCCGATGAGTTTTGTCACCATGTTCGCCAGTACGTACTGCGACATGATATTCTTGGAAACTGACTACCTTCTAGTCATGCCGACTCCATCACTATGAAAACCATCTACAGATATGGTGTGGATCCAAATGGCGATCAATCTGTGGAATTGGTAGATCGGGCTATGGAAGGTCTTCGCATCACTGTGAACGTAGGAACTGTTGGAAATCCTCGGTGTTGCGCAGGGTAGACTCCAGGCTGGTAAGGCCAGATGGTATGAACTTATTCTGCAGCTCCTACAGAGCTCGTATTTATACTCTCCAGGCTTGTATCTAGAATTTACTACAACTTTCTCTTTCTCTCGGGCTTACTCATCAACTCTCGGCATGATGCCGGATTGCCCTTTCTAGAACTTTCCAGCAAAATCCCAACAGGAACCTTTTTCGTTGACTACATCCCCGGTTTGAAATACGTTCCGCGTGACTTTATTCTTATTTTTAATTGTCTGATTCACATTAAACCCAACGGTACATACAGTGTGGTTTCCGGGCTTAAATTTCATGAACCTTCTCAACTTGTCAGATAAACCAATGAGGAACGAACCCCGGTCATATACAACTGACCCCGACATGATGTACTTGAACTTACTACGGTTCTGTTTGATTGATAAGCATCAGCAAAGGGAAGAGATGTCTATGCAGAGACAACCCCAAACTCACCTGTCCAGATTTGCCAAGAAAAGTAGAGCTGTGAACTAGCAAACCGCTGACAAACAGAAGGAAAAGAACTGAAGCCACGACTTACAGGAAAGTGATAATCACAGCGAGATAACATTCAGAGGCAATGGTTCTATCGCAAGATCAACGTTCGCGCCACGGTCTTCACAACCCACATGTGGAGTGAGAGTTTGGAGTGGCAGCATCGAACCAAAGTGGGGGACCTGTCACCAATGCGTGAGTTCAGTTGATAAATCAACCGCAATAACATGGAAACTCACAAAGTAGATATACATCACTTTGGCACATAGGACGGTGGAGGCGATGTCGAGTATGCTAAACGAGGGTCAGTTAAAGGGCCTATGAGGACTATTTAATGAGGTGGACATCATAACCACGGCCTGGCCGACGAAGGGGATTTTCAGGGATGATAGCTGGATGAAGGGAAAAACTAGGCGTACGACCATCTGAACACCGAGCCTATCCTTGTTAGGAAAATAGGTGTAAGCCTGAAGAAATGTAATGCCCGACAAGTTGTACAAGTCAACAAGATGAGAAAAGGCGCCCTTAGCGGGGAAAGACTCCGCACACTAAGGAGATGACGGTCCCTATGGATGTCGTAAGTGAATTCTGCCACGAGCTAAGGTCAATCCCTTACCCCGGTAAAAAGGAGAGAATATTGCCATATCATACCCGACCCATGCAGCGCCAGGAGGGCTGGTATTGCTTGCATTGGAGCTCATACTGCCTGGAGGTTGTGGCAACGAGTGAATGGAAGTCCTGTCTACCCTGTTATTTCTCATTTAAAAGAGTAACCTGATTAACTAGATCGTTACTCACGCGTCACGAAATGCATCAATTCCGATACTTCACCATCAAAGATTGTTGTAAGTAGAGAGCAGAGTAATGTAACAGAGAACTAGAATTAGCCTCTCGAGAGAGAAACGTTCTACTTAAATACATTTCGTATTACTTCGAGATCTTTCTACGAGATACTAAATAAGTCCGGATCACGATCCAAGTCAGCTGCTGCTGACTGGCATCGTATCTTCGAGTACATTCTCGTACTCGCTCGGGATTGCTATCCCAACACTCCCCCTCAATTCCGAGTTCCTAGAATACCTGCAGATAGATACTCATGTAATGGTCTTGGTAGGCCTTTAGTGAATATATCCGCTAAGTTCTCTTCTGATGCGCAGTGCTGAACTTTGACTTCGTTTGAAGCCATGCGCTCACGAACGAAGTGGTGCCGTATGTCTATATGCTTCGATCGTGCATGGAATATAGGGTTCTCGGCGAATTTGATTGCTGATTGATTGTCGACGAAAATAGTCGTCGCTTCGTAAGGTGGCAATCCTAATTCGGTTAAGAGTGCTCGTAGCCAAATTACTTCCCGGGTTGTGTGTGCAAGGGCCATATATTCTGCTTCCATAGTGGATAAGGCTACGGTGGGCTGTTTCTTTGAACTCCAAGTAACAGCTCCCCCTGCATAGGTACAGACATAACCAGATGTTGATCTTCTATCTGTTCTGTCTTCTCCCCAGTCTGAGTCTGAATAAGGTATCAGCTCATCCATAGTCCCTCCATATGTGATTCCGAAGTCTAGAGTTCCCTTCAGATAGCGGAAAACTCGCTTCAAGGCTGTGACATGCTCAGCAGCCGGATTCTGCAC